CCCCCCCCCCCGCTCCCCTCCATCGTCCTCTACTAACTCCTCATGCCTCATCACTGCGACACAAACAGATCTGGGATGTCCTCACCTCGACCATCAAGTTCGAGTATGCCTCCAAGAACCATCTGATCGAGAAAATCACCTCCCTCTCTTGGGGCTTCTGCGTACGCCACCCCGCCGCCCGTTTGCGGCCCCCCTTCTCCTCAGCCCCTTCGCAATGTCCCTCTGGCATTGACCCCCACCCCCCTATCATTGCGACCAGACTGCCGGCGGCAAGCGCTCGCGCGAGGGGAAGACCGCCGCCAAGGACATCTGCCTGGCCTTTGGCACCAGCACCGGCTCGGTCTACGTCCTGAGCGTCCCGCGCGCTGAGATTGTCAACACTTTCTCCAGGTGCGCTCACCCTGACACCCGATCGCGCGGTTGCTTCGCGCATGTGCATCTCTGTGTGTGTGTGTATGTCTCGGCCAAGCGGCTTGGACTGACCCCCTTTCCCCCCCCCCCCCCCCACCACCACCCAGCATGCACCCCGACGCCGTGAGCTCTATCGAGTTCGAGCATGACAGCCCGACCGCCTATTCGCTCGGTGTGTCCGGATCCGTGTGTCATTGGAACGCTGCCACTGGCAAGACCCTCTCGTGCGTGATGTGGCCCACCCGACTGTTGCCACTCTCGCAGGTCCACGTGTCTCACATATGTCCTTCCCCCCTCTCTCTCCCCCCCCCCCTCTCTCTCTCCCCCCTGGCAGTTCTTCCAAGGTGGACTCGACCAACATGAGCGCCCTTGCCTTGTCCTCGAGCAGCGAGCAGATTGCTCTGGCCTCCTCCAACATCAAGCTCTCCCCCAAGGCCGACCTCGCTGCTGTCTCTCAGGTGTGTGTTTGCGTGGGCGTACATGCTCATCCTCCCCTCCTCCCCCCCCCCTTGCATCTCCTCCTTCCTTCCTGGCTGGCGCTAACTCCTGCCTTGCCGTTCTCGGGACTAGTCCTTCACCGGCCATGTGAGCCCTGTGTCCCGGCTGCGCTTCTCCCCGAGCGCCGGCCACCTCCTGTCGATGGCCTCGCAGGATCGCTCAATCTCCGTCTGGGACACTGCTTCTGGTGCTCGAGTTGCCGGTGCGTGTCCCTTCCCCTGGCAGCCAGCCGGCCACTGGCCCGCTGGCCCTCTTCCCATCCCCGGTGTTAACCCCCTCGCCCACATTTGTCCGTGATATTCAGGCCTCTCCATGACCTCGGTTCCCGTGTCTTTCGACGTGATCCGCTCTCCGGTCGAGGGTGACAATGCCCCGATCCATGTCGCCACTATCACCGAAACCGGTGAGGTGCATGTCTTCAATGTTGCCCTCTCTGGCAAGGAGTCCGGCGGCAAGCCCAAGCGTGCCACCATCAACCCGGCGGCGACCTTTGACTTCCGTGACCAGTCCAATCGTATGTTGGCGATTGTCTCTCCTTCTTGGCATGTGTTATCTCTTCATGGCCGGCCTGGCACTGACCTCGGGTTCTCCCTTTTCTCTCTCTCTCTCTCTCTCTCTCCCCCCTTCGACCATGGTACACTTGGTGCATGGTTCAGAGCTCAACCAGAGCGCCAAGCGTCACACCTCCACCGATTCGCGCATTCCCGTCCTGGCGGTTTGCTTCGCGCAGGAGGGTCGCCGCCTGCTTCTGGCCCGCGGCTCCATCAACCGCATCGTCTTCGAGGAGATCGTACGTGCCCGCATGCGCCCGCACGCGCCCCCCCCCCCCTCCACATATTCCCGTCTCTTCCCATTCTAATTGTTCGCCACCTCTGACTTGTGTCTCATTGGCCTCGCTGGGGCCTGTGATCTATTCTCTCTCTCTCTCTCTCTCCCCCCCTCCCCTCCCCCCCACAGCAATATGTCACCAGCGACAACAAGTTCATCCCCAGTGGCAGCTTCATGCGGATGCCGACCGTGCTCGATGGCGCGTCGACCGCCCCTCGCGTGGTCCAGTCTGTCTCGGTGGATGGCGACAAGAAGGCCGTCAAGGTGATCGATGCCACCTTCGTGTCGGTCGCCCGGCCCTCGGCACAGGAGCGCCTGGACACGCGTTCCCTGTCGGAGCGCATCAAGGAGGTGCAGATGGTGGAGGCGGCCATGCCGGCCGGTAGCCAGCCGCTGGTCATGCCGGAGGGTGGTGCCGGCGGCCGCGGCGCGTCCAAGTCGCACTCGCTGGCGGTGGTTTTGTCGCAGGCGCTGCATTCGCAGGACCAGCAGCAGCTGGCCTTTGTTTTTGAGCAGACCAGCCAGCAGCTGGTGGAGAACACCATCCGCAAGCTCCCCACCAGCCACATCCTGCTGCTGATCAAGGCCCTGGTCGAGCGCTTCCAGAACAAGCCCACCCGCGGCCAGAAGCTCATCATCTGGCTGCGCGCCACCCTGGTCATCCACTCTTCCTACCTGATGACTGTCCCGGATCTGGTCACCCGCCTTGGCCCGCTGTACGCCCTCGTGGATAGCCGTCTGAGCAGCTTCAAGCGTCTGCTTCGTCTGTCCGGCCGTCTTGACCTGATTGTGTCGCAGATTGCCCAGGCCAGCCAGGACCATGATGAGGATGCCTTCTCCTCGAGCGCGACCTTTACCCTGAACGGTGCGCCCGCCTGTCACATTTCCCCATGCCTGCTGCCGTTTCCCCACTCTTTTGCCGTTGCTCCTCCTCGCCGAGGCGACAGTGCCCTCGAGAAGGGGGGGGGGGGGCGAGTGGGACCTGGTCCATATTTCTTGCTCTGCCCCCCCCCCTCTGGAGGATCTGCCCTCCCCACCGCACCTTTCTTTCGCCCCTCGAACCTGGTTAGAATGATGCCCTCCGGTCACTGACACACCAGCGCACGCGTTTTTGCCGCATTCATACGCCCCAGAGTCCGACGATGATGGCGACATCTCCGAGGAGGATCTGACCGAAAGCGTCCTCCGTGGTGAGGACGACGAGGAGAACGATGACGACCTGGACATTGTTGATGTGCGTAGTCCCTGGTTCTGTCCCTCTCTGGCTGTCTGGCTCTGCCCCCCTTCCCCTCTCCCTTTTCTTCCTTTTGTTGCCGGGCACGGTTCTTCTGCTGTGCTCCTCTTTCCACCCCCTCCTGCCTGCACTCTCCCCCTTGTGCCGGCGTGGTCTGGCAAGCACTCTACTGACGACGCTCCCTGCATGTCTTCCTCCTATACGCACCGGTTCCTTCTTGCCACCCAAAGAACACCCTGCGGGAGGGTATCGACTATGACCCGGCCGACTATGACGATGACACCCAGATGGACGACGACGAATTTGACATGTAGACTAGCCTTTTTCTTTTGAGATCTGAGCGCGTGTGTGCGCGCGTGCACAAAAGACAGCGGGCGAGGGGGGCCCGGCCATGCTCTCTTTCTTCTTTCTCCCTCCTCTCTCCCTCTCGGCCGGACCCCCTCTCCTCGGGGCTTCCCCCTTCACAATAAAAATCCCCTTCATGATGGAGTTAGGTGTGTGCGTCATGTCGCATGCGCGCTTTTCAGTGGCTCGGGGCTCTCGGGCGCCGAGGGGGGCCATGTGCCATACTTCTCCGAGCAAGGGAAGGCGGCGTTGACAGGCATAAATGGACCGGATGGGGCATCGCATGTGCCCCCGACCGCTGGCATGCCTCCTTTACCTGGGCATTTTTCCGGGCCTCGCATCTGCTTGCCGGGTGTTTCTCCGGGGCTTCCCCTCGCCGGCCGCGCATGCGCATGTGAGACATGTGGGTGTACACCTCAGCAGATGCATGCACATGCGCGTCGCAAAAGCCACGCGTGCGTCCCCCAAGAGGCTTTGGGTTTTGTTTGTTTATTTGTTTTCCCGCCAGACACCGGGGAACGAGAATATATACATGCTCCGCCGCGCGTACATGAGGAGGGAGGAGGGGAGGAGCGGGCAATGTGCCGCCTACCGAGTCTGACACACAAGGACGCGCACCAGCGACAACCGCGACGCGCGATGGGATAGAAAACGGAGAGAGAGAGAGAGAGAGAGTGGGGTGGGGTGGAGGGGTGGAGGGGGGGGGGGGAGGCTACGCGAGCCGACATGCTTAGCTCAGCCCGCCCTCCCCCCGACGCCTTTCCCTGAGGGGTGAGAGCAGGAGCGTAGGAGGGGGGGGGGGGAGGGGGGCGAGAGGGACGCGTGTCGACACAACAAGGACAAAATGCGGAGGAGGATCCCCCAGCCGGCGCATGCTCATGTGCGTGTGTGCGTACACGCCGGAGCCCCGCCGCCAAGAGAAGAGGAGCGGGGCACACAAGGACAAGTCCACCCCTGTCCGGCATCGAGAAAGAGGAAGGGAGAAAGAGGAGATAAATGGGGGAGAGGGAGAGAAAGCCATGGGCGATCGTGTCGGTGTTTTGCCCACGCGACTCTAGTCCACTTCGTCAAAGCGGTTCAGGAGGCGATAGCTGAGTTCGAAGCCGGCCAGAAGGGCGGCGTTGGCGGGGAAGGCACGGAGGACGGCCGCCGAGCAGCCCCGGTAGAAGGTCCGGATGCCCTCCTGCTGATAGAGGGTGGCGATGGTGCGGAAGAGGGGCATCTTGCCGGAGGAGGACTGCGACCGGGACTTGATTACGTCCACCGGGAAGACGCAAGACCAGGCCACCATGCCGGCCAGGCCACCGGACACAAAGAGCTCCGCCGGGTTCATGTCGTCCTTGGTCTTGCCGCCGGCGTAGGAGATACCGGCGCAAATGGCCTGTCGCGGATGTGCGCGCGCATATGCGTGCGGGGAGAGAGCACCGCATACCGCCGGGCGAAGGGAAGGCAGGCGGCTTAGTCATGGAGCGAGGTGGGAGGGGGGGGGGGGGGGGGGGGGGAGCCGGGGTGGGGGACAAGAAAGAAAGACACACGGGGGCCGTAGCCCCCCCCCCCCCCCCCCAGCATGCGAGGGTGGGCCCGGCCCCGGCAATCGGCGTACCTCGTAACTGCCCAGGAACAGGAAGTTGAAGGGGATGTCACGCATCCAAAGACTGGGCAGGCCGCGGAAGAAGCCGGCCGGGCCCGAGGTGCGGAAAACATCCCGAGCGACGGCCAGCGGGGAAAGCCCCTTGGCAGCGACACTGGTCTGAAGGCGAACCTTGAGCACCTCGGCTGGGCAGATGGCGGTCGAGGAGAAGACACCGGCGAAGCCGCCAGCAATGGCGCACTGTTGTCGGGAGGGGGGAGGGGGGGGGGACCAGAAAGAGCCAGCGCGAGCAGGCAATCGGGCCAAGCAGGGAGAAGACCGTCAGTCATGGCCAGCCAACAGCAGGAGGGCGTATGGCCGGGGCAGGTGCGAGGGAAGGGCGAGATGGCTGACCACATCGCATCGGTGACGTACCTGCGCGAGGGAGAGCTCCTCGTCCTCGCGGACAAAGCCGTTGGACACCATGGCCCTCTTGATGGCGGCGTTGGCTGTGAAGAGAACCATATTCTCGGTGACGATACTCATGAGGGCGGCGGAGCTGCCCTTGTAGACGGCACACATGCTTTCATTGCGCACGGTCTTCACCAGGCAGTCGATGGGGTTGCGGTAGGTGGCCGCCGGGGCGGTTTGCATGCGAACTTTGATGGTATCGAAGGGCTGCCCGGCGTAGACGCAGCAAACGCCGCCGGCCAGGCCGGACACCGTGCTGTACCACCATTTGGGGGCGGCGGCCGCGGCCACGGCACTCGTGGTGGCCGATCGGGCGAGCTCATCCTGCTGGGCATCCTCGAAGGCGCCGGACAATGAGTGAATCCCGCTGTCCGGGGAGTGCTGCGAATTGGGGGGACTACTGCCGGGCTTCGTCATGGCCGAGTTTGGCTGAAGTGGGGTGGACGTGGGGGTGGGGCAGACGAATTCGGGCGCGGCGGACGCTGTAGAGGGCATAGTCGTCGCGGTGTTTTTTTTTGTGTTTTTCTTTTCCGAGAGGGTGGGATGGATCTGAAGGGGGGGAGGCTCAGGTGACGCTCTGCTGTTGTTGTTGTTGTTGTTGTTGTTTTTGTTGCTGGACGGGAGGGGAGGGGAGGAGAACGGAGGGGGGCAGGCGGGCAACGCTGTCACGAAGAGACGGGGGGGGGGGAGAGGTGTCGCTATCCGAGTGGGGGGGGGGGGCAGGAAGCGGCACGCGCGCTTACTGTGTTATTAAGTGCTGGCTGAGGCAGTGGGCAGCACTCAGGTCGCGGGTACGACTGTCAGAGCGGAGAGTGTAGAAGTAGAGGAATGAAACAGATGGGGAGTGCAATCCGCCAACCATCCGGGTGGGGAGAAGCCGAAGCAAGAAGGCGGGTGTGTCTGGGGGGATTGGTACGGCAGGGCAGCGAGCGTGGCGGCAGGATGTCAGCTTCGGATTGCGGGTGTTTGGCAGGGACCAAATGCAGAAGGACGTACCTGGCCGCCGGAGGTGGAAGAGAACCAAGAGACACTGGCCGGGCTTATGGATGTCGGAGCCCAAAGGTAAGTATCTCCAATCGGGGAGGTCCGTGCCGCGTAGGGATGGGCAAGGGGGGCAGGGAGGAGAGGGGGGGGGA